TCCCAGGAGCAGACACAGGAAAAAGATGCTGTCATAGATGGGGGACCAGGAGGGAAGAGGACATCTGGAAAAATTATCCTCTGTTCCTGTTCAAGTCAAAACTGTGTGCACGGGTCTGATTCTCCTCAGATCTGCACCACTTTAACTCTGACTTTAATGGTGGTGTACCTGATTTCCATACCGACTTTTTTTTTTTCTCCCCCCACATGCATATGAGCCCATTTCTTCCCCACCACTATCCACTCAGACAAGATGTCTTCAGTATCTGCAAGTACACTTCTTCCTGGAAGGAGATATTTTAAGGGGCAGCCCCCGTCCAAATGCTGGAGAAAAGGAAGGGTGAGGTGACTGTCCCCAGTATGGGATAGTCATAGAGCTCTGTGGCTTATAGGTGTAGAGATAATCCCTTCTCATTTTGAGATTGCATAGAGACTTGGAAATAAGAGTGCTGTCCACTGATGGTGGAGAATTGTTCCTAGAATTGTCACCCACTCCTCTACGCAGGCCATCAGTAGACAATATAATGGCAGGCTGCAGATCTGTACTGGTTCATTGGATACCGTCTCTGGTTGTGTTGACAGTACTCCCATAACACCAACACACCACTCTTCCCTGCGTTGTAACAATGGGTCATACAGTCTCACTACAGCCATTTGGCTATCTGGAGTGCACTGTGAGAATTGAACAACTGGGGAATCCCAGGATTGTAGTAACATCTTGTTGAGACTTGTCCTAGAACTCATAAATGGATCCAAGTGCCATGGTACATGCTATATATGTTCCTTCAATGAACCAGGCTTTTTGTACAACTCCACAACCCATGCAACATTCATATTGGATGCTGAGCTCTCTTGAAAATCTGACCTTGTGTGCCCAAATTGTCCAAGGTTGGCTGTAAATGCGTGTAACAGTTGCTTGAACGCACCTGGATCCTTTCCTTTCTAATGAATTTTACAGAAGTATTAGATGGGCAAAACTTGCCATGTCAGGCTAGACCCAATGGTTTGTGTGGTCAGAGATCCTGCTACCAGCAGGCGCCAGTATGATTTGCTTCATAGGAAGGCATCCCTGCTCATCTTCTACTCCCTCAACCAACATGACGCACCTAGTCAGTTTTCTGTTGCTGTACATAGAGAAGAGAGATGTTAATTCCTGAATCCACAGAGTCTTAGTCTTCCACCAGGGCCCACTGCAGAATTCATTGGGCTCCATTGGCCTTTATTCAGACCATTCCCTCTTTCCAACATGGTGAGACTGAAGGGGCAGAGTAGCTAGCCCTCTAGTGACCCCAGGGGCTGGCTCAACGATCAACTTCCTTCTCAAGGCAAAACAGTGAATCCCTCTCCTGCACCTCTGCCCGAAGTGACTCTACCTAGAAAATAAGGAAACTCCATAATCTGGGAGAATTGAACAATTGAGTAGCCAAATGGTTTCTTCCAGGGTTTTGTTTCTCCCTGTTCTGAGGTTTTCTGCAAGGATGAATATGCTCATGATTGGCTCGAATAGCTGCAGATGTTTTGAAGTGACTGAATCAGCAGCCCAACATGGGGCTATCAGACTTGAGTGTTGGCCTTCCCAACACTCAAGAATGGATATGGGATACATTTATTTAAAGCTATTTCTATTCATAAACAGATCTGCCTAGCTGATGACTAATCCCCATTCTGTAATAGCAGTGGATCCTTTCCTTCAGTTGCTCCCTGCTGCTTCCTGAGTCTGGGATGACTTAATAATCGAGACATTCCCTTCTCAAAACACCATGCCCTGCTTTTCTCTCTCTTCTCCCCACTCCCCTTCCCCTGCAACAGTCCCATTTCATAGTCAGGGATTTCTGGAACATGCCTTCTACTGCTCTGCTCTATCCTTTCCCCTGCAGAATATTTTAGTGAGAGGGTTTATTCACAAATTCTGCCAAGGGTATTTTTAACAAGTGTTGGCCGGGCTATGGAATGACAGGAAGCAATAGGCCTGTCTGTGGAGGAAGCCCTGCTTTGTTGGTAGACCTAGTAAGGCTACAGGGATTGGTAGGAGGCAGATTAGCAAGTTTGGAGCTCGGTTCTGCAAAAGTCATTTTGCAGGGGAACCTATGTGGAGGAGGTAAAGTGACAACCAAATGTAGAAGGGGAAGGGGGAGGAGGAGCAAGGAGAGGCTGCAAGGGATATGGAGTTTAGTGCCTGACATCTTTGCTCTCACTGGGAGTGGTATGATGGAAGGTTCCATCTTCCTTTCCAGAAATGAGGCTGTTGCTTTCCCCGTGACCACGCTGGCACACAGACTCACTCCCAGTGTTTGTTCTCCAGGTTTCTCCATTCCATCTTGGCAGAGGGAGTAGAGCAGCTGGATGTTGTTTGAATGGTGGGAGGGGGGAGAGTTGTGGTTTTTTGTTCTTGATGTGTGTTGCTGCTTTGATTCTGAAGTTGGAGCCTTACTAGTGAGTGACTGTTAAATGTCGGTTAAGAAAAGAGCTCCCTGGGACACTGCCTTAGGGAGGGGAGGAGCCTGCAAGGAAGTACAGTAGAGGGAGGGAGAGATTCTCCCATGATTCAGGCCCCAGACCTTGACCGTTGGATGCACCTGTTGCTACAAAATCATGTGCCAATGGGCAGCTGCCGCCCCCATTCATGTGTTCACTCCTTGTTGAAAGGCGCTTGAAGCTGGAGTTTTCTGCAGGAAATGCCCTGTTGGTGTGCTTTAGCTTCCCACTGTCTCCAACCTGCTGCATTTATCTACTTGTTTTGAATTGGCTTCCAAGGGCATGACATAAGCTTTCATTTGTTGGCTCTTTCGGTTTGTTGGTTTAGAATATATCTAATCATAGCTACTTTCTGCAGTTGTCTTCATGTTGAGCCTCTGTTTCCACGGTCGACATAGCCATTTAGAAAATAGTATTTAACCCTTTCAGCTGTTGTAAAAGACAGTGGGATTGTGTTTCAGCAGCTTAACAAGGCAGGGAGCACTTCCTGAGGAGTGGTTTCATGCTTCTGTTGTGGAGCAGTATGGCCGTATGAATGGGCATGCTTTCTTTGCATTAGAGCAGTCTGCTCCTGCATCATATACGCACACGGGCAAAGCCTGCTTCTCTTACCTGGTGCTGTTTTTTTAAAGGGGCTGGCTGATTCCTGGTACCATCCCTCTCTGAAGAGTAGAAATGGTGTGGAAGGTGAAAGTGAATGTTCTCTTTCACATCCTCTAGTCTAGTGGGAAAATGTTTGCATGAGCACCTGCCCACCCTGCTCGTAATTACATTTTCTAGTGGGGAGATTTTGACAGGTGCGTGCACTTTCACGGGTATATCTCCCAGTGGTGAGAGACTTTTTTTCAAAGTCATACCACTGTCTTTCAATAGATGTCGGGTGCCTGATTGTCTTCTCTGTCTTTTAAAAATCTCCCTCTGTGTCTTGAAGGAGCAGTTGGCTTGCTCCCAAATGCATTCCCTCCCCATCATCTTATTGATAACTGCAAACCAAGAAACACTGCTGCATGCCACAATTGCACCTGCGATGCCCCACTCTACACTGTAGACATGGCATGTGCTGGTAGATGAGTAGAAATGCATCTGTAGAAGATAC